ATTGTATTACACTAAGACTGACATTTAGATTGAGAATATATATGAGGTCAATGCATATTGAAGTTCATAATATTTATGGCTCTAGGAATGAAACTGTCCTTAAATTTCCTGGTCCTTGTTTTAATGCACCGGTAATGCCTGCCCGATGGCAACAGCTGAAACAAGTGAAACCCAGGGTGTGTTGAGTCCTTTAGTATCTTTTTGGCCTTATTGAGGGCTCGAGAATTATATACATCCTTCAGTGATGGAAGGTGTCTGCCAGTGATCCTCTCTGCAGTGTTAATGATCCTTTGAAGCCCTCTCTTGTCTGCCTCAGAGCAGCTAGCATACCATACTGTAATACAATACGTCAGCACACTCTCAATAGAACAGCGATAAAAGTTTACCAGAAACTTTCCACTCAGATTGTTTCTCCTAAGGATCCTTAAGAAATGTAGACACTGCCGTGCCTTCTATTCTCATTTGGAGATTTCAAAAACTGTAATTTAAAAGACATAAGGGCAACTTCAAGCAAACTGAAAAACAGAGTGCACAAAATATGTGTATGAGATTATAGTATATATTATCTTAATGAATCAAATATATTTCTGAAAAAAAACAAAAAAACATCGTCAATGGACATGAAATGTACCCTAAATTATAGACTCATCCAAATGCTTTGTTTATAATGAGAAGGAAGTTTTAACCTATGAAACTTGCAGGATGCTTTAATGGTACACAGACCTCTCATATCACAAGTCAGATGTCAGAAAGAGCTCTATTGCAATGTATGTTACACACACAAGGAATTTGTCTTGGCTTCCAGTGCAGACGAAAGTACAGACATACATACATGAACATACATGATAGTGCAGACATACACAGAATTACACAGTAGAGATGAAATATAACACTAATATAATAAAAACAGAAAATGAAATAATGCAATATAATACAGAAGTAAAAATATAGAGAAAAAACATATAATTATTTTAATGAATGTACATACCTGTATATGTTATTTGCAAGTGTACAGTTTATGTAGTTTACAAATGTACAATTTTCAGATGCTATGTATAAATGTATCAGTTTTAATGGACAATGTATAGTTATGAAAGTTTTCATTGTTCAGACTGAATATAGCCTGCGGGGGGAAAAAAACTGACCGCCTGGCTATTCTGGTGGTCGGTGCTTTGTAGCGCCGACCAGAGGGCAACAGCTGAAAGAGAGAGTGGGCTGGGTGTGTGGGGTCCAAAGTGATTTTCTTAGCCCTTTTCCTCACTCTGCAGGTGTAAAGATCTTTGAGGTTGGGAAGGGGGGAACCAATAATCTTCTCAGCAGTCTTGACTGTCCGTTGTAGTCTCTTGATGTCTGATTTGGTAGCTGAACCAAACCAGACAGTTATGGATGAACACAGGACAGACTCTATGATTAAGCAGCTCCTGTGGCAGGTTGAATTCCCACAGTTGGCAAAGGAAGTACAGCCTCTGCTAGGCCTTTTTAGCAATGGAATCTATGTGAGTGTCCCTTTTGAGATCCTGAGAGATGGTGGTGCCCAGGAACCTAAATGACTCCACTGCAGCCACAGTGCTGTTCATGATGGCGAGTGGGGGGAGTGCAGGGGGGTTCCTCCTGAAGTCCAGGATCATCTGTGTGTGTGTTCAGCTCCAGGTTGTTAAGACTGCACCAGACAGCCAGCTCTTTAACCTCCTGTCTGTAAGCAGACTCATCTCCATTGTGGATGAGGCCGATGATGGTAGTGTCATCTGCAAATTTCAGGAACTTGACAGAGGGGTCCATTGCAGTGCATTCATTCATATACAGGGAGAAGAGCCGTGGTGAGAGAACACAACCCTGAGGGGTGCTAGTGCTGATCATGCACACACGCAGCAGTGAGTAATGAACATACATCCGTTACAGTGGGCAGCCATTTTTGCTGCGGCGCCCAGGGAGCAGTTGGGGGTTCGGAGCCTTGTTCAAGGGTCTCACCTCACACGGAAGAGAGCGCTGTACATTCACTCCCCCTACCTACAATCTCTGCCGGTACTGAGACTCGAACCCATGACCTTTGGGTTACAAGTCCAACTCTCTAACCATTAGGCCACACCTGTGCAGTCCCATGTTGACTGCATCATCCACAGACCTGTTTGCTCTGTACACAAATTGAAGAGGATCCAGCAAGGGTCCAGTGATGGATTTCAGGGAATACCAGTCTCTCAAATGACTTCATGACCACAGACGAGAGTGCAACAGGTCTGTAGTAATTAAGTCCAGTGATTTTGGGTTTTTTGGGGACCGGAATGATAGTGGAGCGTTTGAAGCAGCAGGGAACTTCACACAGCTCCAGTGATCTGTTGAAGATCTGTGTAAAGATGGGTGCCAGTTGGTCAGCGCAGACATTTAAACAGGCAGGTGAAACACTATCTGGGCCTGAAGCTTTCCAAATCTTCTGTTTTCTGAAGACCCGGTTTACGTCCTGTACACATACCTTAAGCGCAAGTTAAATGGTAGGAGAGGGAGAGAGAGGGGTTGCAGGGGGGTAGGTGTATGTGTGAAGTGCAGATCAGAGAGGGTGGAGGTGTGAGACTGGGCTTTTCAAACCGGCAGTAAAACACATTCAGATCGTCAGCCAGTTGTTGATTCTCCACAGACTGTGGGGGTGGTGTCTTTTACTTAGTGATGTTCCTCAGACCAATCCATACTGACGATGGGTTCTAGGCTGAAAACTGTTTTTTCAGCTTTTTGGAGTAGCTTTTTTTTTAGCCACTCTGATCTCCATTGTTAGTCTGTTTCTGGCCTGGTTATACAAGATTGTATCCCCACTTCTATAAGAGTCCTCTTTGGCATGACAAAGCTGTTTGAGTTTATCATTATTGAATGATAGGAATGTCCTGGTAAGACATTCCTGTGGTATCCTCACAGAAACTGATATATGAAGTTACAGTATCTGTGAGCTCATCCAGATTGGCGGCTGCAGCTTCAAAAACACTCCAATCAGTGCAGTCGAAGTATATGCCAAAAGCTTAAAGAAAAATGAATTTCTCCTGTCTTTTAAGGGTCCAAACTTTTGTGTGATCGTGTAGTATGCCAAAGATGGCCAGATGATGATGCTATTTTTTCCGGTAGATTTTCGTGTATACCTTGTTGAATCAGCCTGTGATCATAGGGTCACTCGGTATGACTGAAATTACAATAAGAATGCAAGGTGTACAAGAAATTATTCATCACAAATCTCGTTTTTCTAGATCGTAGGTAGTCGGAATCAAATTCTGCATAAATCGTTCTAAATCTGACTGTGTGGGATCACTAGTTTGAATATCCTACTGTCATATGTGACTTTCAGATTTAAACCAGTCTTAGATAATGAATCACCAAAGCAGATGATTTACCGTCAGTGTTAATCTGTACTAGAACAAGCTGGTTTTGCTTGATTCTTGAGTATTTTGTACCTCTAAGTTCATTCGTGAAAGGATGTTCCTGTGGCTGGATGTATTCAAGTGTATTCGACTGACACCAGGTGTTCAGTTTGTCCTTACGGAGTAAATCTTTCATGCGCAAGACCGCTCCGTGAGCGTGCATGTGATTTGAGACTGTCACACACACTCGAACGCTCTGGGCAGAGTGACACTGCACACATGGTGTTACTGTGACTTGGATTTGCAATGTCACCATGACCAGTACACCATCTCTCTTGTGACACTGGCTTACCTTCCAATACAGGAAGCAGTGAATGTGTGCACATCTATGGTTCCACATGTCTATCACGGGTAGAGAATTTAAATCACACTCTCCTCTAGCACTAACATGTTTCAAAGAAAGAGGATATTTCATCACCAGTTCGTAGCAGATCTGTAGTTTCTGCAGTGTAATACATTGAGGCATAAAAATTCTTTGAGATGCATCAATGCAATAATAAAACATTCAGTGTTTACAAAATGTAATAACGGTTTATAAGGACTATGATTGCAATGCATATTCTGGAATATATATACATATATATATATATATACACATATATATATATATATATATATATATATATACGTGTGTGTGTGTGTGTAAAAGTATTATTATTGTTATTATTATTATTTTCATGTGTTTTAATGCACCTTGACTTGTAATGATTATTTGTTCATTAAGTGTTATTTGCCATTGACATGTTTAATAATTTAATGATTTCTTAATAATTTAAATTTTCATTGCAATAATTCATTTAAAATAAATAAATAAAAAATGTTAAAATAATTGTAAATAATTATTATACATTTTATAATTTTAACAATTTTCTTCTATTTTAATTTATTAATTTGCTTGAAGATGGTCATTATTAATTGCTGGGACAGTTTCCATCACATTATATGCAAATGTGTTTTACATATTCTATATTACATAGTGTATTTGTCTATTTATGTTAGTTTGCCAGCAAGATTTTATTTATTTATTATTCATTCATTCGTTCATTTGGGTTAATAATAATTGTACATTAATTTCTACAATCAATTAATCAATAGAATGAATGAATGAATGAATGAATGAATACAAATATCTATTTTTGAGACTGTGATTGTAAAGCATAATGCACAAGTTTATCAGTATGTAGTGCAAATTTTCATTCCAGTTACATTTTTGTCTTTAGCATATTTTTTGAAATAATTATGAATTGTTAGAAAATAATCAAATCTGATCAGATGGAATCATAAAGTAAACCATAAGTAATTCATCACAAAGTAAAGAATGCAATTAAAATTAAACAATAAAAAAACAAATATTTACATCCCTAGTCCAAATTTATGGAAATGAACAGTGATGTGATGCATCGATTAATAAAGGGAATGCAGATATATTCGGATACTGCATTAGGAACAATTACTAGAAGCACAGAGCAACACAGTGATTTAATCACTTTCAATGTAATCAGGGCTCTAGCAAGCAACGCCTTATTTATTGCATTTGAGAGCTCTTTCCTGTAAATTACATCAGCACAAATGTGATGAGCAGATCAGCAAGTCCAGCATGTGGCAATAAGGTTCAAATATCTGGAGTAAGACAGTATGCATGTCAGGTGCCTTGTTTTTCATGAGCTCATCTTGACTCAGCATCACATGACAGCAGCTTCTGCCAGTTCCTCAGAACTGATGTCACACTGTCTTTGCTGTATCTCGAGAGTCTTTGAGTTTGGTGCTGGAAAGCCCCTCCATTTGGAATGATCTGTAATCTTCTGACAAAGGGCTGAACAACAAATGACCATTAATGGAAAACATGCGCATGACAATGAATTGTAATAGCAGCAGTCCAGTGAAGCAGACAATGAAGTCACTTCAGAGGTCCACACAAACGTACACACCCTCACTCTTTGACTCAGTTGACTGAGCCCCCCAACTTTTCCAGAGTTGAGATCAGCAAACATAAAATGTAGTCTGACCTCATGGAGGAAAAAGAGGGAATCTGCGTTCTTGCACGCACGCGCACACTCACACACACACACACACACACACACACACACACACAGCCTCAATCTCTGCTCCCTCTCTCTTTCCCGGAAGATGCTGTGTTATTGGAAATGGAGATGGCAAAGCAAAAGCAGGAAAGGGAGGAGTAAAAACAAATGAAGGGTTCTTTTTAAATCATGTGATTGGTGAGTCAGTGCATGAGCTCAGTGCAATACAAGATCTCCTGTGATTGGTGGACAGTGATGTGCTGATCTGATCAGGACAGGGATGGTGTGAGCCTAAAGGAATAATAACTAGCTGCATACTGTCAAAAATAAGTATGATTATGATACAAGTTTTATGTCATTTCTTTGGAAAACTTGCTGAAGAAAATATGAATAGTAGTAAACATATAGTAGTAAATATCTGCACAAATGTGCATGCTAAAATAATGGGAATCTTCTATGCTTTATTTTAAAATTAAAAATGAAGTGTTAAATGTCATTCAGACGTTTGATATTTTAATTTTATGACCCTGCTTCACTCAATGATCACTATGTATATTTTCTTTATGATATGATTTTTAAGATTTTTTATTTTTATTTTATGGGTATACTAGATTTTCACATTTTCTAAAAATTATATGAGTGCATTTTTAATAGTAAATATCTGCAGGCTAAAATAGTGGTCTATGAGTGATATGAATTTTATTTGTATTTATTTATTTATTTTGCAATATTATGGGATGTGTTATATACAATTATGTTTAATAACTAAATTCTGTTACCTTGCTTGATATAAAGATGATTGTTATATATTATTGCTTTATGAAATTATTATATATTTTTAAAGATTTGTATTCCTTTACATAATATGTAACTTAAATGTTTGTTCTTAAGAGTGCCTATAGTTGCACAATTACCTATATGCATGTACGTTTGCATGTGTATGATCTGCGTAGGCATTGTGAGATTCCCAGTCTCTCCTTGACATCAACTTTGGGCCCGGTGCACGTCATGTTCAATGCAATGTTTATACAACAGACCCTCGGCACGTTACCCCCTCAACAGACGTCACAATCCAAACACAAACATAGCCAGTGGTCTGCGCAAGCACTCTACCGTGGGAGAAGAGTTGAAAACAAAGGTGGTGCAGCAACATCATTAATATTCCATCTCACTTGCACAATGATAGTGAGGTCAGCGTATAACAGCTCTCTGAAGTGTTGTGTCATTAGAGGCACAGCCTGGATGATATTTCAGCTGTGTACAACTAAACCATCTCTCCTTCAAAATAAACAATATGGATTCAGCTGGATGCACATGGCAAACTCTTAATTTGTGGAGTGCTAGCCAGAGGAAATACTAAAAAAGGGGTTTGGCAGTTTTTTTTGAAGGTGTATACAAACCAAATGTGATGTTAAGAGTGTATCAGACACTGCAGCCATTGGAAATTAGGTCATCATGGTGATGGAAGCTGAATATTAGTCTTGCAGGAACATCTGCGTCCTACGAAATGGATGCATCACTTGGTGAAATCAGATCAGATTCCCATTAGAAACCCATTATATTAAAAAATAAATAAATAAATAAAATACACTCACTGTTCTTCTCGAGACTTTAAGAGTCAATAAGGACATTGCTGCCACATCAAAGCTGACTATGATGAGAAATAAAATGAGATATTTTTTCCTGAAATCAAGCTGTGTTGTGAAGCAAGGCTCTTGTGGAGATTATTAGTAAGTCAAAAGCAGTGTTGAGGAGGTTTACATTTCTAGCAGGCTAAAAAGGGTGGGTCGAGTCAGGATACATGCATTCAGGTGGACGGGGCCGCTATACAAACTCTTACAGCAAATTAGGTTGCAGTTAAAATAATACTAGCTCTCATCAGGTTAACTCAGGTCAGTACTTAAAGGGATAGTTCACCCAAAAATGAAAATTTGATGTTTATCTGCTTACCCCCAGGGCATCCAAGATGTAGGTGACTTTGTTTCTTCAGTAGAACACAAACAAAGATTTTTAACTCAAACCGTTGCAGTCTGTCAGTCTTATAATGGAAGTGAATGGGAATCACGGCTGAGAGTCAAAAAAACATACACAAACAAAACCAAATTAAACCCTGCGGCTCGTGACGACACATTGATGTCCTAAGACCCTAAGACACGAAACGATCGGTTTGTGCCAGAAACCGAACAGTATTTATATAAATGAATGAATGAATGAATGAATGAATACAAATATCTATTTTTGAGACTGTGATTGTAAAGCATAATGCACAAGTTTATCAGTATGTAGTGCAAATTTTCATTCCAGTTACATTTTTGTCTTTAGCATATTTTTTGAAATAATTATGAATTGTTAGAAAATAATCAAATCTGATCAGATGGAATCATAAAGTAAACCATAAGTAATTCATCACAAAGTAAAGAATGCAATTAAAATTAAACAATAAAAAAACAAATATTTACATCCCTAGTCCAAATTTATGGAAATGAACAGTGATGTGATGCATCGATTAATAAAGGGAATGCAGATATATTCGGATACTGCATTAGGAACAATTACTAGAAGCACAGAGCAACACAGTGATTTAATCACTTTCAATGTAATCAGGGCTCTAGCAAGCAACGCCTTATTTATTGCATTTGAGAGCTCTTTCCTGTAAATTACATCAGCACAAATGTGATGAGCAGATCAGCAAGTCCAGCATGTGGCAATAAGGTTCAAATATCTGGAGTAAGACAGTATGCATGTCAGGTGCCTTGTTTTTCATGAGCTCATCTTGACTCAGCATCACATGACAGCAGCTTCTGCCAGTTCCTCAGAACTGATGTCACACTGTCTTTGCTGTATCTCGAGAGTCTTTGAGTTTGGTGCTGGAAAGCCCCTCCATTTGGAATCATTTGGAATCTTTTCACAAAGAGCTGCGCAACAAATGACCATAAATGGAAAACAAGCGCATGACAATGAAGTGTAATCGCAGCAGTCCAGTAAAGCAGACAATGAAGTCACTTCAGAGGTCCACACAAACGTACACACCCTCACTCTTTGACTCAGTTGACTGAGCCCCCCAACTTTTCCAGAGTTGAGATCAGCAAACATAAAATGTAGTCTGACCTCATGGAGGAAAAAGAGGGAATCTGCGTTCTTGCACGCACGCGCACACTCACACACACACACACACACACACACACACACACACAGCCTCAATCTCTGCTCCCTCTCTCTTTCCCGGAAGATGCTGTGTTATTGGAAATGGAGATGGCAAAGCAAAAGCAGGAAAGGGAGGAGTAAAAACAAATGAAGGGTTCTTTTTAAATCATGTGATTGGTGAGTCAGTGCATGAGCTCAGTGCAATACAAGATCTCCTGTGATTGGTGGACAGTGATGTGCTGATCTGATCAGGACAGGGATGGTGTGAGCCTAAAGGAATAATAACTAGCTGCATACTGTCAAAAATAAGTATGATTATGATACAAGTTTTATGTCATTTCTTTGGAAAACTTGCTGAAGAAAATATGAATAGTAGTAAACATATAGTAGTAAATATCTGCACAAATGTGCATGCTAAAATAATGGGAATCTTCTATGCTTTATTTTAAAATTAAAAATGAAGTGTTAAATGTCATTCAGACGTTTGATATTTTAATTTTATGACCCTGCTTCACTCAATGATCACTATGTATATTTTCTTTATGATATGATTTTTAAGATTTTTTATTTTTATTTTATGGGTATACTAGATTTTCACATTTTCTAAAAATTATATGAGTGCATTTTTAATAGTAAATATCTGCAGGCTAAAATAGTGGTCTATGAGTGATATGAATTTTATTTGTATTTATTTATTTATTTTGCAATATTATGGGATGTGTTATATACAATTATGTTTAATAACTAAATTCTGTTACCTTGCTTGATATAAAGATGATTGTTATATATTATTGCTTTATGAAATTATTATATATTTTTAAAGATTTGTATTCCTTTACATAATATGTAACTTAAATGTTTGTTCTTAAGAGTGCCTATAGTTGCACAATTACCTATATGCATGTACGTTTGCATGTGTATGATCTGCGTAGGCATTGTGAGATTCCCAGTTGGGGGTAAGCAGATAAACATCAAATTTTCATTTTTGGGTGAATTATCCCTTTAAGTGAGATAAAATAGGATTCTGACTTACACAAACCTTTTTAGGGGTCACACTATGACTAAGGTCAAAAATAGGTTCATCTGGATCCTAAATCATCTTCCTGTGGCTGACACACCAGATGTTAAATCCAGGGCTGGTCCAAGGAATGAAGCTGGTCCAAATCAGAGCAGTACTGGTTTATTATAAACACACTCAGATCCTCAAAGGCTAGCAGCTCACTAACCATTCTTCCCATTGCTGTCAGCCTAATTTACATAAGTATTTGTAAAATGAAGGGAGTTGGTGCACACAAATGTGTTTAAGTGAAATACCCAATATCTCAACTCCCTGCTGAATAGGCCCTACCAACTCTTCATAGCCTCTGGAAACAATGAGTAATTTAGATTTTTCTTTATGACTTATTAGGCCACCTCTCATGGCCTTAGCATTAAGCTCCAGGTGTAAGTTCAGCAGAGAATCTATGGCCCAAAAAATGCATTCTAGTCCAAAGTTTTTGACGCCTCATCACCTTCTTTTCCTCAGCAAATGGTAAGCAAACTCTATAGCACAGTGGTTCCGAACCACGTTCGTGGAGCCCCATAAGTAGTGCACATTTTGAGGGTCTCCCTAATCAAACACACCGGATTCAGGTCAACATTAGTAGAGACTCCAAGACCTGAAATGGGTGTTTCAGACAAAGGAGATACAAAATGTGCAGTGTTGGTGCGGCTCCAGAAACGTGGATGGGAACGACTGCTATAGGAAGTGTTTGTGAGAAATATAAGAAGCTATTTCAATGCGTGAAGTGGCAAGATTTCAAAAACAACTTGATAGATGTGACATCATCTACTGTAGGAGTAGCAGTAGGTGTAACTTCCTGCAAAATTTTGCTCCAACTCTAATCAAAAACACCTGAACCAGCTAATCAAAGTCTTCAAGATTAGTTGAAACTTACAGGCAGGTGTGTTGAAGCGGCTTGGAATTGAACTCTGCAGAAAGGTAGTCCTCCAGTCCCTGGTCTGTTATTGAAAGGGGTGTCCAAACCTGTTCCTGGAGGGCCACTGTCCTGCAGAATTTACCTCTAACCCTATTTAAACATACCTGATTGAGCTAATCAAGATCTTCAGACTCACCAGAAACTGCCAGGCAAGTGTGTTGGATCTGGTTGAAGCTAAACTCTGCAGGACATTGGCCCTCCAGGAGCAGGACTGGACATACCTTGTGCATCAACCTTCATCATGGGCACAACTATGCTCCAAAAGGTGGTGATCAGATCTTGTGGAAGCACAGCCATCAGGCATATACTTGTTTTCCTACAGCACCCCCTCACAACTTGAGTCATGTGAACTCTTATACAATTTCAGCTCTCACGGTCTTCATACGGAGTGGCTGACAGCAGTTCCATGCACCAACAGAAAAGGAAAGACCCTAAAAACCCTAAGATTGTATATTTGTGTTGGGCTCTGGGCTTTGAGTTTTAATTCATTGTTCTCCCACAGACTACAGCAGATGTTTTTGCTTCTGCAGTGTTTTTTTGAGGGGCACAATGTGGGTGTGAGAGAAGAGTGCAAGCATGAGATTTCCCACCACCTGCAAATGCAACATAGCCTTACTCAAAACAGGAAACACAGATGAAAGCGAATCATTCAGAAATAAGCAGGGTGGACAGCACCGACCTTAAATCAGAAATGAGTATTTTCATCTGTTTTGGTTATTTTGGACTGAGTGCAGAAAATGTTTTTTTCAATGGGAAACTTTCACAAAGAAAAAGAGTTTATGAATGTTCAGTTTGATTTGCTGTTGTTATTAAACGACCAATGTGCTGAGTGCCTTTTCGCCATACTGTACACTGATAGGGTCAGATAGTTCATCCATTTGTAAGTGAAACTGACCTTGAACCTCCTACTTTAGACAATGTGCTCAAATCAGCAAGTTTGAAACATCTTTGATGAGAGTAACACTTATAAAAAGCCTCTAAGCCTAATTATTCAACTTAATTTGTTTATGCTTACAGACATGATACATGAAATCATGTAAGGTTATCAAGTTAAGGTCACATTTACCATTTCTCTGCAAAATGTTGTTGGCGAAATCTGATAATTTCAATAGGATTTTATATGATCCGAAATTTAACGTGAGGATGAAAAATTTCCCCATGCAGATTTTGCATTGGGTTCAAGATGGTCACATAAATTTGCTGTGCTGACCAACAAAAAGCTGCTTGGTCCATTGTGAATCACTACATTAGATAATGGACATTTTTGACTGCAACATTTTGTCAAAAGTTAACTAATGTGATTGCACCTTTATGGTTATTTTTATAATCATCAGATTATAAAAACCCCATAGACTTGACATTGAAGGAAGGTGCCATATTAAAGGACCAGACTATCATAGAGACTCGATGGGCTCTGTTGACATAGATCAGTCAATTAATAACCAGAAAACCTTAGCATTGTAGTCTCAACTTTTGCACTGGTAAGCAGCATTCACATTTTCCAACAACATTCCATT